CGTGTTGATCGCAACCTGTTTTTTCAGTAGATTCGACATCCCAAACGTTAGTATTTGAGAAAGGGAGCTCTTCCCAGAGTAGTGATTGACATTGACAGGTAGTACATCGCCAGACAGAATCAGCGCGTACATGGAATACGTTCGCACATTTAACATGGCAGATAATTCCACAGATGTTACAGAGAACTACTCGTCGATTACTTGCAATAGAGCTGAAGCACATACAACATTTTCCCGCTTGCTTTCTGTCATGGGATGGACCAGGATTAGGATTGATGTCCCCACTTACAAATATTCGGTCACGTGACGTGTTTAGACCAATTACGCGCGAGCGAAAATATTTGATGGATTATAAAGCGTCATATGATGAGTTTTTCAACCAATCAGAATGTCCAATTCTTATATTCACCTCTGGAAATTATACTAAATTTAAATATCCTGTTACACAATGACAACTGAGTACCTTAACTTGACACTGTTCGATGTCATGCGCAGGTCCAGTATCTTTCAGTCAAACCGGATGTTTTTTTGATGGGAACTTTGCAAACTTCCGCCGGAACATTGGTATTTTGATTGACAGTTTGAGTCGAGCAAATTGCAACCTGCGCAAGCAAGTTGCTCGAGATGTTAAGCGAGATGGAGCATTGGCGGCCGCACATATTCCGTTCCTAATGAGTGCCTGCCTGATTTCTGAAGTGTAACTCCTAGGGTTAGTAAGTTTAGAGTATTCTACAAATTCAACAATGTCAGGGGTAAAAACTGTTCGTTCCTTTAAACCAGGCTTTCCAGGGAAATACGTCCAGCGTTGACGGAATTTGTTCACAATATTGGATACCGTTTGAGGCGATAATCCAACTTCTTCTGCGATTTGTGCCTGTTTTGAACCAGACGTCCACAGGGCAATTATTTTCTTCCTTTTCTCAAGCGTCTTGGGACGATTATAATGTATCTTAGCCATCATAAACCACAGTAAGAACTGCTCTTCAAATGATATTTTAAAACGGCGCGAAAGCGATAGCAACTTGCTCGCGCGGATTGCAACTTGCTCGACATAAACTGTCAATCAAAATACCAATGTTCCCGCGGAAGTTTGCAAAGTTCCCATGAAAAGAACATCCAGTTTGACTGTAATCAGTCCTTAAATGTATCGTCTTTGAGATATGTTTAGGGGCATGATCAGGATGTTAAACATGCAGCTAATTAACTCCTTGAAACTTTAATAGGTAGCTAGAAATTCAAATAAAGGTCTCTTAGCCAGGACTTAACTTTTTGGCCATTTTATTAGTTTATCCTTACCCATCCCCTTACAGTATGGGCTGTCTCCATGGTTCGTACAGTATATTGTAAATGTTGAAAGTAATATCACAGTACCACTGAAATGATATATTTTTTTTGTCTGCACATTCAAAACCACAGTTTCTAATAACTATGAAGAAAAGATAAAAAATATAATGAGAATACGGCGTAGCACTGCAAACTTTTATTTTTAATGCATATTTGTTCTCTTCCACATTTGTTTAATCTACAGCTATGCAAGTACGATGAAGTACCGCAACCTGCGTATGACGATATTGGCGAACAAAGAGATGTTAAATGTGACATTAGCAACGGAAAGGTCGCCCTGATTTACCCTATAAAGTAAGTAAACCATACTATATGAAGTGTACTAGATATTAACGAGTGAATGCTTAAGAACGAGTAAAGTAATGGGCTTAAATTCAATTGCTAGATTCCCAAATTTTAATCCCGCTATTAATTTATGCACATCAGACATATGTTATACATACCCCACCTTATAGTTAGTAGCTTTTGTCCTACTACCAGGCGTTGATCGGAACCATCAAACAAAAGTCCTCGCGACCCGCTCTTTTTCATCATTTACATTAACAAAACAAACGCTTCTGAGCTCAAAATGAAAAGAATTGGCCAGAGAGAAGCTATGAACCAATCTTTCAAGTTTGCAGTTCTCCAGTCTCAAAACAGACCGGCCTTACTGTTGCTTTTGATATTTTCTTAATTCACATTTTCCCAATTGAAGGTGGGATGACAAGTTGCTATAAAATTGAAGTTGTGCTTCGTGTATATCCGACAAAGCACGGTATCGCAGAGGTCATGGATTCGAATGCCGTTCAAACCAGATTGTATGAGGCTTAATTTTCGTAACTCCGTACGTTGCGCAGATAAATACGATGATCCCTATGTCACTAAATCTTTCCCCCGCAATTAAAATATGTAAACTTTCACGTAGTCATATACACACCTTCACCATCTACGATTAATTACATTACGAGTTCACAACGAGACTAGCTCCCAGTTGGCTTGAATACCCATACCCATATGCTCCTTCTATTCTCTCCCTTTATCTACATTGTTATTTGCCAGGTCATCAAGGGCCTGCTTTTTCTCCCTACACCTCCACTGGGGCATTCATATCAACGCAACTCTTAGCAGTGAGTCTGTTTGTGTTCGTAAGACATATTTCCTCTGTCGCACGACAATCGAGTGGCCACATATTACAGTTTGAGAGTAGGCCTTTGTCATAGATATTGTCAGGCCTCATGAAAAGATCCTTTTGACGCGTTAAGTTTCCTGAAATGTACCCGCATGGTGGTGATCTTCCGACAATCACTGTCGTACAGTAAGACACATTGTACATTATTACTCTTGAAAGTCGTTAAATCTGGGTCTTGTTTGATTTACACTCATGTCATGCATGATTGGTCAAGTACAGTTCACAGAAATACAGTGGTAACACAACAGAGTTCATAGATTACACAAACTCAGAAGTCGTAGTCACCTAGCTGAGCACAATGCACTGTACCTGATAACAGCATTTTTCCCTCCAGTGTCATCTGACACCATCCTTTCATCAACAAATTAAAGTTAGAGCCATCTTGCTCTTACTTTGATGAGTTGTTAGCTAGAGCACTCTGCTTTTAACGTGTCAAGGCTTCATAGCTCAATTGGGTCTCATCTGGTTCAACAGTCAGCTAGTATAGCGGATTTCCAGTGTGAATAAGCACTTAATGACTGGCCCCAAG